GCCCAAAATACTCAGGAATATTTAACACCCGACTCAGTAAGCTCCTGCAATCATCGTTCTTAGCTGCAGTTATACTCTGGAATAGAGTCTCCTGAAATATAGATAAAAGCATATATAAATATATTATACACTTTTGAGTTACTGACAAAACTAATGCTGTACTTACACATTGTTCAAATACTTGTTGAACTTCTTCCTGAATGACTCCATCTCTTTCCACACGGGCAGCCTTCCACACAATATGGTTCGGAAGAGATGTCGCATCACTTTTCTCCTCTTCTAACTACGTATTAAGATGGATAATAAAGCATTCATATCCTATTATATATACTTACTATTTTTTGTAACTATATCATATTAAAGCATTTATATATACTTACTATTTTTTGTTCTAAGCGTGCATATCCCAAACACCCTTTTTTGTATGGATACGCGGGTTTTGATGCCCGTTGCCGATTTACGCCACTCACAACCTGAAAAAACAAGTTTAAGTCATATCAGAACTCTTGTGGAAGAATTATATATACTATACATTATTCATGATATGTTGTACTTACGCAAAATTCTTTGGTTCTTCGCTTGGCAACAAATGTCTCCCATTCTTCATCTGAAATCAGATCAACATACTTCTTTGGATGCTTCGAGTCGACAATGTTTCCATCAGAATCTTTAAGAAACTTGTTCGTTAAAAAAGCTCTAAATCCCCTCAGTCGTTTTTCGGCTAATTGAAGACAACATTTTCTCCTGCGATCATCAATATTAAAAGATCTCTGCAAACAAATGCACATACATATAATATGTTAGTATAATTAATTTAAAGATGTAACCGTCAACATAATTAAAAATAATCAAATATCATACCTGTATCTCGCTCCAAATTTTGTCTTTAGCCGGTTGTAACGAAGGAATTCTCCAATTATCGCAAGTAATCGGAATTTGTGAACGTATAAGTGCTCCAATGTAACTTGTCAGCATCACACCGTTAGGCTCAACTAATTGGTCTCTTTCATTCCAATACACATCATACTTTACACCTCTATCTCTCGCACGGATGATTTTTTCATAATCGTTATTCCTTTTTTAATATCGCCTTCCACGTCTTTTGTTGTTTCGTTTCCATCATGTGATGTTTCCTCGTTGGTGGCCATAATACCTGTAATTCAGAAAAACCAAAGTATTAAATGAATGACATGCAAATATGTAAATAAGAAATATATACATAAGAAATGTATAAATAAGAAAAAACATATACATAATTTTATTGAATGACATAATATGTAATTTTATTGCATGATATAAATATGTAATTTTATTGAATGAGACAATATGTAATTTTATAAGTACCTTTGTTACTAACATCTATTTCTTTTCTTCGTTTGAACGTGGTTTACTTGTCTCTTAGCAACACAGACGGATGGATTGATCCAAATTCCCTCGTTATAATCATTTCTAATATATGATTCGTCCGCTCTAATATTCTCATATGGATCATCTATAATATAAGATTCCTTCTCAACATCAACATCCCCCTTGTCTCCAATGTTATCATCGATTACTTTGTTAGAAAAAAGAACTATAAATCATTTCGTACTTGTCGGATCAGTGACATAGAACACTTGTTTAGCTTGCGTGGCTAGAATAAAAGGCTCATCTTTGTACCCCACCTTATTAAGATCCATTTGCAAAAATCCTGACTTATCCATTCGTATGCCACTATTATTTTCAACCCACTTGCATCTAAAGATAGAAATCTGAAACTTCTCATAATCAAACACCCAAATGCGCTCGATAACCCCAAAATATGACAGATTCGCATATTTGGGGTTTAAGTCCTTCACACTTTAAATGTGCATTACTTTGGCAAGCACGGTGATACCACTATTTTGCATTGTACTTTTATCATCTTGTTATTTGGTATAAAATGTGTATCCATTAATTGCGTATGAGCTATAAGAAAACACATGCAAACTTGGACCATATGCTAAACATCCCAACCTTTCTGTTATTGAAGCGGGATCATAATAAAACTTTGAAAAAATATGCTCCTTGAACCATGTTACAAAACTTTGATTGTGCTCACGTACTATCCAATTTTCATTTCTATTCAAATTTAAACCTCGGAGAACGTCCTTGTGCATTTCAACATACGGCTCAACCTCAATGTCATTGTGCAGAACATACAAATACACTTGCTCCCGTTCATCCCTTGAAACTGTCACAACTTGATTTTTAATTAATTGTTTACCTACTATTTTTTCAACAACATGAGATTTTGGGAGGTCAATGGATTGAACGTTTGACAAATATTCAGTACAAAACTCAATAGCTTCTTCAACAATGTATCGTTCAACAATACATCCCTCTGGTCGACTTTGGTTTTTCACATACCCTTTTAATGTTTTCATATAACGTTCGACAGGGTACATCCATCTCATATAAGCTGGTCCACACAATTGTGTCTCTTTCACAAGATGAACAACTAGATGTACCATTATGTCAAAAAATGATGGAGGAAAATACATTTCAAGTTCACACAAAGTAATAACTATTTCTTTTTGCCATGTTGGTAAGATCGCAGGATCAATCACCTTACTACAAATAGACCTGGAAAAAAAACACAATTTAGTTATTGCGCTTCTCACTTTTTCTGGAAAAATAGAATGTATACCTATTGGTAGAAAGCGTTCCATTATAACATGGAAATCATGTGTCTTTAAACTCTTTAACTTGAGGTCTTTCATAGAAACAAGTCTTCTAATATCTGAAGAGTATCCTTCTGGAACTTTAACTTCACTCAAAAACTTATACAATATCTTTTTCTCCTTTCTAGATAAAGTATAAGCAGCAGGTGGTAGATATGTGCGATTTCCTTTCTTCAAGGGTCCTAATTCATTTCTTATTCCCATTGTTACCAAGTCCTTTCTTTCTTTAAGGTCATCCTTAGACTTTCCTTGTATATTGAGTAACGTACCAATAACATTTTCAAATACATTTTTTTCAATATGCATAACATCAAGAAAATGTCTTACATACAACGACTTCTAATACAGCAACTCAAACAAAGTTGACCTCTTCTTCCACTCACGCGTGACAAGCGTATGAGCAAAAGGCTTGCCAAACTGAGTACTCACATCTTTCACCTTTTCAAAAATTTGTTCGTCGGTCAATGTAGGTGGAGCTCTACCTTGTTCTGAATTTCCATTGAATGTTTTTCTCCACCCACGGTAGTGATGATTAGAATTTAAGAATCTACGATGACCAAGAAAGACATTGTTCTGACCAAATTCCAATCGCGTCCAATCTGTGTTTTCTTTAGAGATATGACACACACATTGACCTTTAGTGCTATACCCTGATAGATTTCCGTATGCTGGAAAATCATTAATTGTGCCAAACAACATCACCCTCAAATTGAAACTTTCTTTCCTATATCCATCATAAACCTCCACACCGTTCTCCCACAAACTCTTTAAGTCTTTGATTAAAGGTGTCAGGTATACGTCTATGTCATTCCCTGGTTGTTTAGGGCCATAAATTAACATAGATAACATCATGTACTTACGCTTCATACATAACCATGGAGGTAGGTTATAAATCATAATAATTATAGGCCAGGTGGAATGTGAGATACTTTGTAGACCATGCAGATTCATTCCATCAGTCGATAATGCCAAGCGAAGGTTTCTAGCTTCTTTTCCAAAATCAGGATACTCATTATCAATTTTCATCCACTATGGTGAATCTGCCAGATGTCGATACTTCCCATCTATAATTCTATCATCTGCATGCCAAGTCAAGTGTTTTGCATCTGTTTCACTACGAAACATGCGTCTAAATCTTGGAATTATAGGAAAATACCATAAGACTTTTGTCGGTGACAACTTTTTCTTATACCGAGATACACTACATTTAGGACACTCGTTTAATGATGCATATTCATTTCGAAACAAAATGCAATCATTTGGACAAACATGTATCTTATCATAGCTCATGCCAATAGAGCATAACACTTTTTTAGCTTCATAGGTTCGATTGGGAAGAACATTATCCTCTAGAAGCATCTCTTGTAGTAGGGCTAACAACTCTGTGAAACTTTTATCTGACCATCCATTACCCGCCTTTAAGTTGTACAACTTTAATACCGCAAACAATCTTGTGAAAGCAGTGCAACCTTTATACCACGGTTTCTCTGCATTGCTTACCAACCTCTCAAACATCTTGGGACAATCCTGAAGATCTTTTTCAAGTGCTTCTGCAATCTCTTCGACTCGATCACAATCATATGTATCTGTGTCATTGTCCTTTGAAGCATAGGTCGTATTATCCCCCGGTTCGACATTCTCGTTACTTATCTCACCATGTAATGTCCAACATGTATAACTTCGATCAATTCCATGTCTCATTAAATGAGATTCCAACTGAACTACGTCAATCAGACGCCCATAACAACAGCCTAAGCAAAGACATGTGATCCAAATAGATTGACGAACCCATAAAAAAAAGATGTTGTCGCCATTTCGGCTAACGACTCCTTTACTTTTTACACCGCCATTTGAATTGACGACTCAAAATTAAAAGCGAGTTGTTTTGAAAAAAAATTTGAATTATTATTTCGTTTAGTATTAAATTTGGAAAAATTGGTTATTTAAAAAAAAAAGTTTGTAGAAGGTATATAATGACATTTACTCAATTTAGAATAAAAAAATCCGTAAACAAAAATAATTTTTCTTTATTTCGCAAACTAACATTGTTTAGTCTTGAAGTTTTCTCATTCTCCAATCTAATGATAGAAAAATAAAATATTTGAAAGTGAGGGTATTTTGGATATTGCATTGGGTAAAGTGAGGGTTATTGTGGTAAAAATATTCCATTTTCCTTTCATTTTGTCCCGTTTCAATTTCCCTCTCATTCCATGGTCTTTATTTTCTTTCATTTTCATCCAAAACCTACACAAACTCAGAATCCAATTTTCAAAATCTCTCAGAGACAAAGAGAGTAGAATGGCTTCGAACACCCCAATCCGGTCAAAGAGCACGCCCTTCTCCAACTCAATCTTGAAATCTAAATCGGTATTTCTCATTCTCTCTTCTCTATTCTTTCTTTTTCTTCACTCATGATTCCACTTTCTTGTTTTTCTAGGTTTTCTTACATGAATGGTGGCTTGTCAAGCCTCAAAACCACTGCAACGGTTTTGCTATTTCTGGCATTACTTCAATCGGGTAATTTTTTTCAATTTTCAATTTTAGGTTTTAATTTGTTCTTTGTTTGGGTAATTAATTATCACAACTACAGGAGGGGAGAAAGAGTGTTTGTTTCAACTGTGATTGTAAAGGTACATGAAACCAATGTTGTAGAGACCCAAGATGGCATCATCGTGGGCTTCCGCGGTTTCATTAACTCCTCTCGTTCATTCCAAAATGGTTTTTCTTCTCAGGTGCTTTACCCTTTTTCTTTCTCATTCCTCTTGTAACTACTGTGTTTGGTTAAGTGCTAGTGAAGATAGATTTGACAAAGTGAATTTGAAATATTCATTCATTAAAATTGACTTGTATGAAAATATTGTGTTCAATGCATTGAATAAATACCCTTGTGTATGATTGTTCCTGTTATTGTCTCAATGCATTCAACAGGTATGCCAACGTTTCTCAATTGGATTTCCACACAGTTGGAAAAAGTTGTCTGCTCGTTTAGAAAATGAATGTGATTATGTGGATAGAGTTAATGATTTTGGCGTTTCAAATACTCCTTGCCACAAAGAAATAACGGACGAGACTTTACAGGAAGCTATAGAAGTTGAAGGTAACAAGAATATTATTACAAGTCTTAGGTTGTCTCAACCACAAGTTGACGTGGTTTATAATGGTGAAAATGGGTTCTCAAATGTTGATGACTCAAATGCTTCTCTCTGCCAAAAAACAGCTGATAAATGTTTGCAGGAAGCGGAAGGTAATGATGATATTGCGAGTCATAAGTTGCCTCATCCACAAGTTGAGGTGGCTTATAATGGTGAAAGTAAAGTTTCAGATTTTGACGACTTGAATGCTTCTTTCCTCAAAAAGACAGCTGATGTGACATCAAACGAAGCTAAGGAAGCTGAAGATGACGACACTGTCGGGAGTCTTAGGATGCCTCAGCTGCAGGTTGACGTGATTAATACTGGTGAAAATGGAGTTTCAAGTGTTGCTGCAGCTGAAAGTAATCAATCTAAGATGGGTGTGTTTGAATTTGATCCTGTCTTGGAGCAAAGCAGTGTCAAATCTCCACTTCACCCGAAGAAATTGAAGTTATCTAGTGACTGCAAGGAGAATAATGAACGTATCAAGCAGACGATTGTAGAGGATCCTGGTAGTTTATGTAGAAGGGTGGTGACAAGAAGCATTGCCAAAAATAGTCTTATAAAGGATCGGAAAGTTGAAGCAAAATGTTTTACTTCTCCTGTTAGAAGATCCTCTAGGGGTAAAAAATTATAAAAGAATGAGCTGTTTACAATTATTCTGTTGGATTTTGATCCTAACTAAGTAATTACTTTGCTTGTTTTTGTAAAATATAAAGGTAGGTGAAGTTGTCTTAGGATTTGGAGGCCTTTGGAATGTTATAATTGGTGCCTGAGGAAGCATATTTTATTAGTTTTAGAGTTTTCTTCTTTTTACTTGCCCCTGTTTTGGTTTTGGTGTCATTGTGCAACTTTGTAGGATTCTCTTGCAGTCTAATTTTTCAAAATATTGAATGAAGTTCTTAGCAATTCATGTTCTTGCAAAGGAGACCATATACATCATATTATTAACAATGAAATTACATGAATCCCATCTGCGAAAAAAATAGTATATCATAAATGTACACATTAAATACTGAAAATTTGAAAAATTCAAATTTGAATAAGCACTCCAACATATTAAATGTCACCCTAATCTTTTAATAATATTTAAGAAATTTAACCATTATCTTTTAACTATATTTAAAAAACTTTATTATATGTTATACCTAAGATGTTTTGTATGAGTTTTAGTATGTCAAAAGGTTAATAAATGATCAAAATGAATGGAAATTTAGCAAAACGTTGTATTATATAAAATAGGGTAATGTTAACTTGTGCCCTTGGGGCACATGTTAAGAAATTCACAAATAGAAAATAAGTATTGAAAAAAGCAATAAAATCATTAATGTTTAACTTGTATTAAATTTAAAACATAACTTGTATTAAATTTAAAACACAATTTCCAATAATTTTTTACTATATTTATCACTTAACATGTGCCCCAAGGGCACAAGTTAACATTACCCTATAAAATATAATAAATTTCTATTTCTTTTTAAGTTTAATATATAACAAGTTTTACTTGCATCTCAATTCCTATTATACGGTCCATTTTGCCTCCTTATTTTACCGCCAACCATTTCTTAGCCAAAATTTCAAACTAAAGATCGAAGGAAATTCTTGGGTGATTTTAGAGTCAAGAAGAATTTTGTTCTTGTAGCATTGAATTTATAGTTGAATTATTTGCTTCCTAGGAAAATCCATTCTATATATTTTGACTGTTGTTGATATTCTCATACATAAATACAAGTACCCCTTAGAGAGTTATAATTCAATCATAAGAAGCAAAAAGAGCTACAACACCACTTAGATTAATTTGAAAAAAAAAACATTTAGATCATAATATCATGGAGCAACCTCGGTTATTATCTAAGATAGCCACAGGCAATGGACATGGTGAAAATTCTCCCTATTTTGATGGATGGAAAGCTTATGAAAATGATCCTTTTCATCCCACAAATAATCCTAATGGAGTTATCCAAATGGGTCTTGCAGAAAATCAGGCATGTATAATTGATTAGTTCTCATAAAAACACATAATGCAAATACATGTATTATATACTAATTTTAATTATGATTATTTTCATTTTCAGCTTGCTTCTGACTTGGTTGAAAATTGGATAACAAGTAATCCAGAGGCTTCAATTTGCACTCTTGAAGGAGTAACTCAATTCAAAGCCATGGCTAATTTTCAGGATTATCATGGTTTGCCACAATTTAGACAAGTGAGTCACAACATGAAAAAATTCAAATAAGCTAAGGTTTGGTTATACATTGATGAAATAACTAACTAAAATTGATGAATTACACAGGCTGTGGCTAAATTGATGGAAAGAACAAGAGGGAATAGAGTTTCTTTCGATCCGGACCGCATTGTTATGAGCGGCGGAGCAACCGGAGCACATGAGGTTATAGCCTTTTGTTTGGCGGATCCCGGCGATGCATTTTTGGTGCCAACCCCTTATTATGCAGGGTAAAATATTTACTTTCTGTTTTTTCTTTGGAGGGAAAGCATTGTTTTAAAATCAATTATTTTTTAATTATATAATTTAGAGTCCCTCTGTTTAAAAGAAAAAGGAAATTGTAAAAAAAAACAAAAATGATTTAGACTTCCTTTATAACGTTCCGGTCAAAGTATTTTGAAATTGGAAGCTGTAGAATTTTAATTTTTAATTAATGACCCAGTAAAATATTACAAAGTCAAACACTAATTACTACTACTAGTCATTGGACTCTGTCACACCAGAGCATTTACTACTTCCTTCCCTTCTCATAAATTTTGTTATAATTTGTAAAAGAAAAATTAATATTTTTTGTTTATAAATTGGTATGGGGAGATATTAGTCTTCTATATTAGTCTTTATGATACATCATATGTTGCTTATAAGCTCCCTTAGTTCGTAGTATTATATATATGCTCCCTTTGAAGATATTAGTGTCCTAAATACAATCTAATATAATGCAATTTTCTACGTTTAGTTTAATTTAAAACAGTCACTTATATTTATTCATAGGATACTTTTAACCATTTAATTATGACTTATAAATATTATTTAAATTTATAATAAAAATGAAAATAAATTATAAGAATTAAGAAAATAATTTAAGAATATACAAAAAAATATTAACTAACTTTATGAAATCACTTTTCATTATTTTTAATTAAATTTTTTTTTCAAATGTGATGCCTTATTGGGATTAAATACATAAAAATTATGCAAAAATTATAATTATTAAAAATGTTTGTTAAAAAAATATCTTAAGTCCTATTTATTTAAATATGTCTGTTTTTTATTTTTAATGCAGTTTTGATAGGGATTTGAAGTGGAGAACCGGAGTTCAACTTGTTCCAGTCATTTGTAAAAGCTCTAATAATTTCAAGCTCACAAAAAAAAGCCTTAGAATATGCGTTTGATAAAGCCAAAAAAGACAACATCAAAATAAAAGGCTTACTTATTACAAATCCCTCAAACCCTTTAGGAACAATCATGGACAAAGAAACCCTAAAAATATTGGTGAGTTTTATCAACGAAAAACAAATCCACTTAATAAGCGACGAAATATATGCTGCAACAGTTTTTTGCCACCCAAGTTTCACAAGCATAGCTGAGTTAATAGAACAAGACACAAACATAGAATATAACCCTAACCTCATTCACATTGTTTATAGTCTTTCAAAGAATCTGGGATTTCCTGGTTTTAGAGTTGGCATAATATATTCATACAATGATGAAGTTGTTAAGTGTGCTAGAAAAATGTCAAGTTTTGGATTAGTTTCTTCACAGACACAATATCTTATTGCATCAATGTTATCTGATGAAGAGTTTGTGGAAAAGTTTATAGTAGAAAGTGCAAAAAGACTTGCTAAAAGGTATGGAATATTCTGTAGAGGTTTATCACAAGTTGGTATAAAGTGTTTGCAAAGTAATGCTGGTCTTTTTTTATGGATGGATTTGAGGTGTCTTCTTAAGAAACAAACATTTGAAGAAGAAATGAAACTTTGGAAAGTGATTATTCATCAAGTTAAGATTAATATATCTCCTGGTTGTTCTTTTCATTGTTGTGAACCGGGGTGGTTTAGGGTTTGTTATGCGAATATGGATGATAGAGATGTTGAAGTTTCTTTGACACGAATTCACGCGTTTGTGAGGCGAAACAAGGCTGAAATAGTCGCGGAGAAGAATCCTTGTAGCCGGAGAAACTTGAGATTAATCTTCTCATTAAGAAGTTTGGATGATTTTTTGGTGTCACCTCATTCTTCTATTACTCATTCACCTATTGTGAAAGCTACTACTTGCTAAATTCATGCACAATTTCAGATAATTGATGATGGTGTTAAGGTTTGTTTATTTACTAATTTGGTTTGAATAAAGGGTGTGTTTATTTGACAATATTAAGAGAATTCATCCATTGTTTCTTTTCTGTTTTTTCATTTGAAAAATCTTGGATTTATGGTGGAAGAGTGTTTTTATAGTTTGTAAGATGTATTTTGATTTAATGTTTATAAGATTTTTGGTTTGGACTTTTTTATTATGACATGAAATTCTTATTGCCAAGATTAAGTAGTATTTTGTTGGTGAGTTTGTAAAATATATTTGAAATTTCTATTATTTTATTAAACATGAGAATATTATAATTCAATATTTTATTAAACATTTGGAGCAATAGTTTGGGTTGCGCCTATTCGTTTTATCTCTCAAATGTTTGAATATATAGAAAACAAAAGCATCATGGTTCGAACATCCTTGACCCAAAAAGCTTGTTTTATAAAATAAATTTGTATGACTTCATTTAATTTTAATAAAAGGTTCATTTGATAGAGGATAAAACATGAAGAAAAGCTCTTTGATTTGAAAACCTAAAACTACCGTTCACAAAATCATTTCCCCGTCCTTACGCAACCACCATCAATGGCAGTAAATGTATCCAAAGCCATAGAAAAACCAACATTGATCATTCCTTGATCATGCCTTTAAATATCTTTCACTAAAATTTACTGTTGATAATGGCTGAATGTATATAACTGAAAGCAAGATTCGTATATCAGAAAACGAACAATGAACTCATTGAGAGAGAAAAAGATGAAAGGCTTGATCTGTTACATTCAACTCAACTGAACAATACAATGAGATAGCTATATATACATAGAAAGAGGAGACAGTTAGCATATGTCAGCTAAGCGAACTATCATATATTATCTATATACATAAAATAGAAAAAAGATAATACATATATTTACATATATAAGCTAATACTCCCCCTCAAGTTGGACTGTGGATGCTGCAGAGTCCCAACTTGGCCATGATAGATAAAAATGCTGGAGAATGCAGAAGTTTTGTGAAAGCGTCAACCAACTGAGCATTAGTAGAGACAAAGAACAAATGGATGAGTTTGGAAATGATTTTCTCTCGAACCACATGACAATCCAACTATACATGCTTGCTCCTTTCATGAAAAACAGGGTTATGTGCAAGATATATAGCCGACTTGCTGTCACAATACACAAATGCAGATTGAGAAAATGTAATCATGAAGTCATTGAAGAGATATTGCAGCCATTGCAACTCACAAGCAAGAAAAACTAAGGCTCTATATTCAGCTTCAGTGGAGGATCTCGACATTGTGTTTTGCTTCTTGGATTTCCAATAAAGAAGTGATGAACGAAGGATAACACAAAAGGCAGTAATGGATTTCCTAGTAGTACGACACCTTGCCCAATCAGAATCCACAAAAGCATAGAACTTGAAAGAACTAGAAGTTGAAAATAAAATACCTTTAGCAGGAGAAGATTTGAAGAATCTTAAAACCTTTGTAGCAACCTGATAGTGTGAAAAAAGAGGCTTGGAGACATATTGTCTGAGATATTGCGCTGCAAATAAAAAAAGAGGATCATCCAAGTTTTGAACAGGGTTTGAGGATATAGCAGAAATGGGAGTTTTATGTTTGAAAGGAAATGTGTTTTCATAGTAAACCACATTCCTTGAAATGAAAAAAGTATGATTTTGGAGATCATATAAAATGTAGCCTTTTGTGCCTTCCTTGTATCCAAGAAAAATGACTTTCCTAGCTCTAGAATCAAATTTTGTCCTATGAACTTGTAAAGAAGTAGCAAATGACAAACAACCAAAGAATTTTAAATGAATCAAGGATGGAGGTTGATTAAACAAAAGTTTATAAGGACATTTAGAATTGAGGAGAGGTGTAGGTAACCTGTTGATTATGTGAACAACATGTTGGATGCAAAAATTTCACATATTCAAAGGAATGTTAGAATGGAAAAAAAAAGAGACCTAGCCACATCAAGAATATGTTGGTATTTCCTTTCCATCACCCTATTTTGTTGGGGTGTTTCAACACAAGTTCTTTGGTGAATGATACCTTTGAACATAAGAAATTCTGGCAAAGCAAGAAATTATGTCCCATTATTAGATCTTAAGCATTTAAGAGTGGTGTGAAACTAATTTTCTATGTAGAAAATAAAATGAATAAGAATAGTTTTAGTTTGATATTTTGTCTTAAGGAATATTACCCAAGTATGTCTTGTATAATCACCAACAAGAGTCAAGAAATACTTATGTCCTAAAGTAGAAATGGTGGAAAAAAACCCATAAGTCAGCATGCAGAATAGTAAACGGAGTAGAAGAATGAGAAACACTATTAGGAAATGGAAGTTTCTTTTGTTTAGCAAAGTGACAAAAGTCACAAGGTATATTATTATTATTACATGTAATGAAAGGAAAAGCTTTGGACACAATTTGTAAACCTATGTTTGATATATGGCCTAGTCTTAAGTGCCACAATTATAATAACTATATGCAACCGAAAAATTGGCAAAAGGGTGAGCTTTAGAATCAATAACATAGAGTCCTATGTGCAAGCTAGTTATACCAATCATTTTCTTAGTATGATTCTACAGGATGTGGCAAGTGTTAGCATTAAATTGTATAAAACAGTCATTGATATCATCAAATTTGGCAATAGAAATGAGGTTTACATGGAAAGTAGGAATGTAAAACATATTTTGCAGAATTAAAGAAGGAGAAATGGAAACTGTATCAGAGATAGAAGCAATGACCTATGAACCATCAGGTAGACTAACATGCATAGACACAATATTTTCATAGTCAATAAAGGATGAAAAATTGAAAGATAAGTGATTAGTAGGTCCAATATCTAAGATCCAAAGGTTAGGATTCTTATCATTCACATTGGAGGAGTGAGAATGCATGACAAAGGGTGAGGTAGAAAAAGAATTCACAGAGGGAGTAGGCTTGAATTGTTGAAGCAATGCTAGAATATTGTTGTACTGCTCCTGAGTAAAACCAAATGTAGTGGAATTCGAACTCCTAGGAGAAGCTTCTGAAGTAGTGTTTACTGTAGCAGCTGATGGTGAATCATTTGCATTTCCTTGAGCCTTATTTTTACTTCTATAACCTGGTGGAAATCCATGCTTGAGGAAATTGGTTTCAACTGTGTGATTTGTCCTGCCACAGTGTGTGCAGACTCTGTTGTGGCCTCTTGGAGCATTGTGATTCTGACTTTTAGCACGAAAGTTGTTGTTACCAGGTTTGGCAGTGTAATTATTGTTATGAACTTGAGTCTATAAAGCAGTTGCTTATTCATTGGTGTATGCAGAAGGAATCACACTAGAAACAAAACTACCCATTTCCCTTTCTTGTTGAATAACAAGTGAAAAGGCTTTGTCAATATCAGGTAAGGGATTCATCATTATAATTTATGACTTTGAATGTGAAAATTTCTTAGTTAATCCCTTGAGGAACCTGATGAAATAGTCTTTCTCTCTACATAATTTGACTGATGCAATTGCACCACACGAGCAAGGGATAACACAAGAACAAAAAGGGATTGATAGATAGGTTTCCAACTAATCCCACATGACTTTCAATTGAGTGAAATAGTTAGATACATTGAGAGTACTTTGGCGCAACTTATAGAGATCCTCATCGATGGATTTATCCTTGTTCTTGGATATGAGCGTAATCTACATCGACCGAGTCCAAGTGTGGTAGTTCTTATCATTAAGCAATGGCGTAACAAGAACGAGTGATGGATTCTAGTTCGGATGGAGGTGATACGGATTTGCAGAATTGGTAGAAAAATCGGCGTAGCTCTGGATTTCCATTGAAAGAAACAAGAAAAACACGAAAAATAAAACGCGATTGGAGAAGAAATCAAGGAAGGAAACGAGAGACGCAATCACAAAAGAAAGAACAATGGCTACCAGAGCTTATTAAGATCTGATACCATGTTGATAATGGCTTAACATGTATAACAAAAAGTAATATTCGTGTAATAGAAAACGAACAATGAACTTATTGAGAGAGAAGAATATGAAAGGCTAGATCTGTTACATTCAACTCAACTGAACAATACAATGAGATAGCTATATATACATGGAAAGATGATCCAGTTAACATATGCCAGCTAGAGCTGGCAGTAAACCGAACCAACTCGAAAATAGTTCGGAATTCGGTTCGACAATTAAATCGTTAAACTAGGTTCATGAACCAAATGAGTTGAATATGAGCGAAAAATTAAGTTTGTTAACTAAATTAGCTGAACTTGAACTATACATAGTTCGACTCGTTAGGTTCATGAGTCAACTCGATTACATATGAGAAGAATTATACTGTCTTTAAGATTATGTTTAAATATTTACTCCAAATCTTAGACAAATTTAATCTTCAATTTAGTAGTTTTTGAATTAGACTCTCAAATGTATCTCTTGAAAGTTGTGTAGGTTTTGAATTAGTAGATTTCAGAGATAAAGTTAATTTTCAATATGATAACTTTTATTTTATTTTAATATTTTATTTTAAAAAAAATATTAATTTAAAATGTCAAATATACTAAAAAAATTAGATTTAAAAAAATAGCTTTTAAGTCCGTGAACCATGTGAGCTGAACCTAATGAGATGAACCTAACAAGTTGAATCGAACTGTTCGTGAATTTATAACGAGTCGAGTTTGAGCTTAAAAAAAAGTTTGTGTCGAACTCGAACCGAGATATGAACTGAACCAATTCTTAACGAGTCAAGCCGAACTGAGGTGAGTTCGACTCGACTCGACTCATTTCCAGCCCTAATGCCAGCTAAGAAAACTATCATATATTATCTATATACATAAAATAGAAAAAAAAGATAATACATATATTTACATATATAAGCTAATACCTAATGCATATGCATCAATCGCAATAATCAGAACAAATCCTTTCAGGAGGTGGTTCACAATGTGTGCAACACACCTTATTCTAAACTTCCAAAACCATTCATTAAAA